TAAATACTTTTCGAGATAATTAGTGTACCCACTTAAAATAATCACTCTGTATACTTATATAAACATTCGGTGAAAATTGCATGTATCTATGGTCATTTGTTTTAAAGTTACATCAAAAACCGAAATCGATTTTGTCGGCGAAAACTGATTGTGCGTAAAATTTTCCGTTTTTCCCTTAATTTTTAGTTTGTTTATCCCAATTATTTAGAAAAATATTGGGAATCTTTTACTTTTGACCCCCCAAAGTACCGACTAGATTCACTTTCTGATCGAACGAGGTACTGAAGTCAAAAATCGAAACACTTTTACTGTCCCAAAACGTGATGACAGACACAAAAAAAAAAAAATTAAAATTAAAAATAAAAACACACATCATGGTAAAATCAATACATTCATTGCTCCGCTCAGAATCTAAAATACAAAATAAATCAAATATCGAGTAGGTACATTTGTTGGTCGCAATTTTTTTTTATAGTTCACGTGCGTGCTATTTAATTTTATTTAATTTGATGAAAATAATTCTTAAATAATTTTTTCGACGAGCTTTTGTTTTGTTTCGATCTCGGTGTAGTAAAATGACTTCGAGCTTTAATTTATGTTTTAGATTGTATATTGATTTTTCAATATTATCAATATATCCTATACTTTCGGTATTCCGTTTTATAAATTTTAAAATATGATACACAGGAACTGAATATACTTAGGTAGTTAGGTATAATAACAGCATAACAGCCATTACAATAATAAGGAGCGTAATAATATCATAACATATTATATATGTAGGCTGTTTTGGAAGATAGGCGTCCATCTCCATAATGTTCAATAATTATTGTAAAATATACAATTATACCTGTGGGACGTTGGTAAATTTTTTTCGATGGGAGCCGTTTAAGAATATACCTGTTTGTAAAACCCTTTTTGATGGGAGTAATTTGAAAACAAACAAACAATATACGGGATCCGTTTGGGATCCGACGCTCATCAGTCATCACTCATAACCTATTCAATTTTTAAGGTGGTTTACTGGTTTTTGATCATAAGTTAGTATTGTTTGGGGGGTGGGAAGGTTAGAGAAAAAATTCTAAGTATTTTACAAAACCAAAATAAACTAATAACATGCATTTTTTAGCCAAAATAGATATAATTTTATGTTTTCTTCTCTATAGGTAAGGTCTCTAAATTCAAAAATGCATTAATCATTTTAAGTTTTTTTTTTCATAAATGTTAATAAAATAATAAATAATTACAAGTAACGCGCACATGCAGTCGAGGAGCTTAAAAATCTATAACGAAATTTCTAGTTGTAAATATATTGCATTATTTCATATTTGCATTAATTCCATCCGATGAAGGTACCGCAAACTATAGTAGGATCCGATAGATGTGTCGCAAAATTATTGATAATTCAGTATATTAGTATGTATAGACCATTCACACATTATTAACAGTATTTATAAAAAAAGGGACGCCTAAACAATCAGAGGCATATACTGGTACATATAAGAAAGACACGGTATAGTTATATTACATAGTTTTAGGACAAATAACAAAACATTTTGAGACAATTTAAAAATACAGTGAAAACTCTTTATAATGAAACTCGTTACATTGTTACAGCATTATATTACGTAAATAACATTAAGTTAACTTATAATGGTTTGTTTGATTTAAAACCTATTAATTACTCTCTATTACGAAAACTCTCAATAACGAAAGAAATCACATGGTCCCTTCAGATTCGTTATAGGTAGTGGGGCCCCTCAAGTGAAGCCGCAGACTATGGGGCAAATGTAAACTCCCCTAAAAAATAAAATAGTAAATCCCCCTAAACCATTTTGCTACCGC